TCCAACTCCCCCTGCTTGTGTTCCCTCTCTCGCTGTGTCTCTCTCTGTCAAATAAATAAATAAAATCTTAAAAAAAAAAAAAAACTTAGGAATTGGATGTACCAGATACGACAGAAGAGGGAGGTAAAGTGTAGAGATGAAAAACCAGAGATTAGCCCAGGGCATAAGGAGCAGTTAGAATTTCAGGTCTCCTACCCCATTCCTGCAGAGCCAGGCAATTACCCCACCCCGGCATGACAGGAGACCAGAAGTTATTCTCTGGTGAAATTGAAGAAGAGAGGTCTTGAGTTCAAGGTCACCAGGCACAGCTAAGGACAGGATGAGATCATACTGAAACAAAGGGGTTAAAAGAGCAGATGCATCCATTTACCACTTTACTTCCAGGATGCTAGTCACCAGGCATTTATTTCCCCAAGCAGGAGATTTGGGATTATTCTCTGGAGAAACTGAGTGACTTCAGAGAACAAGACCACCAGATATTGAATTTTGAATGTTGACTGATTGGCTTTTGGTTTGAACATGGAACATGGTTGTATGGTCCAAGGTAATTCAAACCCAAGCCATTGATCATTAGACTAAGACCCATTTTATTTTATTTTATTTTTTATTTATTTGTCAGAGAGAGCGGCAGGCAGAGGGAAAAGCAGGTTCCCCACTGAGCAAGGAACCCAAAGTGGGACTCAATCCCAGGACCCTGGGATCATGACCTGAGCTGAAGGCAGATGCTTAACCAACAGAGCCACCCAGGCACCCCAGACTAAGACTCATTTTATAATGAAGTTTTACTTGTTACAGCATAGGATTTTTAAGTGTCTCTTTCTCACTTATATTTTTATTTTTGAAAGTTAGTATTTTTCTCAAAAAATATAGATTCTGTAGATTTGTATAATTTGTATTGTCCTGTACCAGCACAATGGTACTGTCAAGATATCCTGCTCCCATCTGTTGATGCTATTAAAAATGTAAATATTTCTTATTGGAATTTTACTATAATTAGTAGGGTTTTCCTCTCCTATGAGAAAAGAAACTAAGTTGGTGTAGTTAGCTTCTTCTGTGGGACATTTGGCTAGTTTATGACTTTGGAACCTGCTCTTGACTCCTACTTTTGAACTGGCCATAAAATTACAACCACCACAGCTGGATTTCCCCTTCTACTTGGTTATTTTATTTGGGTTCCCCCGAAGCAGAGCCTGAAATGAGTTAAAGTACAAATAGTCTATTTGGAAGGTGATTCCAGGAAGCACCTAGGGTGGTGAGAGGGAGATAGGGAAGGCAAAGCAGGGTTTGTGATAACAACAAGCAAGTCACTGTGGTGGGAAATGCAGTTTAATCATGCTGGAGACTCTATAATGATGTAATGTATGGTGATTAACATAACATAATAAAAAAAAAAAACAGAAAAAGAAGTTAAAAAAAATTAACGCTGGAGACTCTAGAAGATAGGTCAGAACAGGCACCTCAGAACTATCCCACCCAACGGTGAAAGAGCTGGAGATTTACCCACCACTGCCATGGGCTGATCACAGGGCACTTCCAGCCTGCCACAGACAGCCTAAGTAGGCTCCCCATGGACTGGGATAGCCTGATGAAGCCCTGTGGGAAAGAGCCCCAACTGCTGGCAGTGGGAAGATGCACCAGCAAGCACAGAAGGGGTTGGGTGCTCAGGGCTGTAGTCAGGACGTCCATAGCAGCTCCTTCGACACGGCTCGCTGCTCTTACCGGACCCTGTATTGTTCCTACATTTCCTGGACTCACTTTTTCCTCTTGAAACAGATAGAAACAGAGATAGAAACAGGTAAGAATCTATACATTATACACTTCTACAAGCTTCATGGAAGAAACAAATTACCCTTATATGCCAACATTTCCCTACTTGTTAAAATCAATAGAAATTAAATATCTGTTATATTCATTCTGCTTCTGTTTTACAAACATTTTTGGGATATTTTGTATTAATTTGCCTCCTGATCAAGATCATAAATACCATCTTTTATAGGCTCAACT